AGAGAGAGAGAGAGAGAGAGAGAGAGAGAGAGAGAGAGAGAGAGAGAGAGTGAGAGAGAGAGAGAGAGAGGATGGTGTTACGCGCGGGGACTTAGGGTGAGAGCAGGTGCGTTGTGGAAGAGGGGCGAGAAACAATTGGTGTCTTACGGTTTGGGAGGAAGCTAGGGAGAGAGGAGGATACGATGATCGTGGTCAAGCCGCCATGGGTGTGCCATGGGAGATTGTCGATTTTCTCTATAGACATCCATCCCGATGGGTCGCGGTTCGCCACAGCGGGAGGAGATCAGAAGGTGAGCAGGGAGGAATTGATTCATTTGCATGTCAATGACCGATTGATTGATCGTTTGATTGATGACTAGTTGATTGATTGATTGGTTGTTTGATTGGTTGATTGATTGGTTGATTGATTGGTTGTTTGATTGGTTGTTTGATTGGTTGTTTGATTGGTTGATTGATTGGTTGGCTTAGTGATGGATTGCTTGATTGATTGATCGGATGATTGATTGATCGGATGATTGATTGATCGGATGATTGATTGATCGAACGATTGATTGATTGGTTAATTGATTGATCGATGGAATTGCTTTGTGTATTTTCTCTCTGTTTTGTTATTTGATTATTCTATTAGGATGATTCGTCTCGGTACTCTGATTCGATATTATTAATTAAGTGTAAATTGACATTATTTAATTCAAAACGACTGGTCCATATTCGCCACTAGAAAGAGGAAAAAAAAAAGAAAAAAAAGAAAAAAAATGTAATAGTGGGAAAATAGAAAAATCGAAATGAAAAGAGAGAAGGGTAAGATGAGGAAGGGAGGGAGGAAAAAAAAAGAAAAAGAGGAAGACAAATGTCAAGGAAACGTCCTTTTTTTTTTTTTTTTTTTTTTTTTTTTTTTTTTCCTTGGTTTTTTTTTGGGAGATTTTTTTCGTTTTGAGTTTTTTTTTTTTTGTTTTTTTTTTTTTTTTCCATTTCCCCCCCCCCCCCCCTTTCCCCTTCATTTTCTTTGTCCTTTTTCTGACCTTCTATTTTCCCTTTTTTATTTATTTATTATAAACGACCGGGATATCACCCGGGCATGGTGTTTGCTCACTCACAGTTTCTGTGTACGCGTTCACATCTTCACAGTACTACCGTCTTTCCCCGAATAGAACGCGTCGTCATTAACGCTGTATTCAGAGCAACTTCACGTCTAGATACAGCCACAATGACCGTACGTTATATTCCGGTGAAGACGGTACTATTCCTTATCTGGGACCTTCCTTTTCCTTTTCCGTCGTCTTGCTTTTTCTTCATTTTCTTTTTTCCTTTCCTTTTTCGTGTTTTTTTCCCTATTTTTTTAGTTTTTTTCTCTTCCATTTTCCTTTTTTCCCCATTTTCTTCGTTTTCTTTTTCGTTTTCACCACATTTTATTTCTCCTTTTCCATTGCTGCCGTCATTTCAGGTCCTTCATTGTGTTTTGTTGCCGCATTCCCCCGAATAGAACGCATGAGGGTTGCTAGCTACAGCAGGTTTTACAGGGGGGCCTTAAATCAAGAAAATGTCCGAATAGTACGCCTGCGTTCTATTCGGAGCTCTACGGAATTTTGTGGCTCCGGATATCGTCTATGTGCGTGCAAACCTAACTGAATGAAGAATTCTTTCTTTTTTTTTTTTTCTTCAACTGAACGAAGAATTGTAAGACGAAAGAAAAAAAAGATTTAATGTGATGGGCCTGATGTGGGAACATTTGTTCCCCCCGAAAAAGTGAAAACAGCTCCGTCTTCGCTTCGGCGTTTCTTTTTCCTGTTTTTTAAGATGAAAATTAAAATTTGAAGTACATCGAAGCCAGTACTTCTGGGCAGCCACCCAGCCTGTCTTGCTATTAGACCCTACGACGTTTTTTTTTTTCTGTTACATTTATTTGATTATTTTAATCTAAATCCCGATGATAAGCGTATGATTGGGGAATATTTTGTTTGGATTAATTTTTGTAGTTTTGGCAGAAAACAGCCAGGCACTTCGTTTTTTTTTTTTTTTTTTTTTTGGTTAAAAAAAAAATCACACGTACTGCATACGAAACTTGCGCGGGAGGCACTTACCGTCTTCCGCTGAACACAACGCACCCTCATTTTGGCTGCACCGGACCCGAAATATAGGTTGTGTACATTCGTTATCAGGGTGCATTGTGTTCGGGGTAGACGGTAGTCGAAGGATAGCTGACGGCAGATTTTTACATTAAATGACGTCTGATAAAGTTTCGGTCGGGAGAAAATGAAAAATTGGCGTAAGGAAAAAGAATGCAGGAAATGTAAAAAAAGATGGAAAATTGCAGAAAATGTATCCAGTATATTAAAACAAAACGGAATGAAAAACTAACACAATAACTTCGACAGTTCAGGACTTCAAAATGTGGATTACGAAAATGGCGTCTGGTGAAATTACGGCCGGAAAATAAAAGAAAAAACAAGATTTCGGCCGGAAAATAAAAAGGAAAAGAAGCGCTCAGTGAAAATTTAAGATTTTTTTTTTTTTTTTGGGAAAAAATCTAGGAAATATTATTATGCAAGTATAGAGCAAAACGAAATGAAAAAATGTCAAAATAACTTTGGCAGAGCAAAACGAAATGAAAAAATAGCGAAATAAAACCTCGACAGTTCAGGAATTTAAAATGTGGGAAAAAATGACGTCTGATCTAGGCTACCAGAGTGGCCCGGGGTCACTTGCCCGGCCGGGCCCAAAAAAATAAGAATAATAAAAATAATAAAAATAATAAAAATAATAAAATTTTCGATGCCCTGGGGCAAAAGTTGTTCAGTTTATTTTTCTGCATAAGGTGCCATTGAGACTATTTTCAAATAGCGTTTTTTTCGTAGTTCATGTGTCACACAACCTAGAATTCTCGTACCAATAGGCAAACCATTATTGATTAAAACAACAGCATTTCTATCAAATTGTAAATAACTGCCATCTTTTCGGTATTTGGTGGCTTTTTTTGTTTGCACTTTTCGGTTTTTTTTTTTTTTTTTTTTTTTTGCTGGGACCCTCCCTGGTCCTTGCACGGGCTGGCCACCCGGGACCCGGGCGGCCCGGCTGGTAGCCTAGCGTTGGATTTTTTTTGTTTTTTTGTTTTTGCTGGGACCCTTCCTGGTCCTTGCACGGGCTGGCCACCCGGGACTCGGGCGGCCCGGCTGGTAGCCTAGCGTCTGCTAAGCTTACGTTTTAAAAGAAGAAAAGGAAAAGAAGCAGTAAGTGAAATTTTAGGGAAATTTATTGTATTAAGCGAAACGAAATGAAATAAAAAAAATGGCAAAATAATTAGACAGTTCAGCACTTTGAAATGTGGATAAATCGTAAGAGGGGAAAAAAAAAAGAAAATGCAAAAACACATTCCTAGCAACTGGGTAGAAGCGAAAAACCTAGCCTTTTTTATTTTTATTTTTATTTTTGTTTTTTACATTCAATGCTTAGCGGTAAACGATCGGAACAAGAAAAATTAAAAAAGAAGGAAAATTAAAAAAGGGTGGCGAGTATATATCTGTTTGTAAAATAAATAAATAAATAGAAGTAACGCCAAAGCATCGGTCACGCCCGGCACACTTTCCCGCCATAATTTCCCGCCATGCTGCCGTCAGTACTTGTCAGTTACCAGTTTCCCGCCGAAAATCATGTCTGTTCGCTTCCCCTCCTCAAATCGGTGCCGGTTTGGGCCAAACGGGGAGTTTTTGGCGGGAAAACTGATATCTGAAAGTTTCCCGGTAAAGATGTTCCCTTCCTCGGCAACAATCTTCTTGTCTCCCGCCGAAATTTTACCCCTTTTTCGCTCATCCAAAATCAAACAGTGAAAAAAAAACCTCCCCAGTGATAACCTTCCCTCTTCCTTCCCTCGCTTCCTTTCCTCTCTCCCTTTCTTCTCTCTCCCTTTCTTCTTCCTCTCCCTTTCTTCTCTCTCTCCCTTTCTTCTCTCTCTCTCTATCTACTCTCACCCTTTCTTCTGTCTCTACCTTTCTCTCCTCGCTCCTTCCCTCCTCTTCCTTCCCTCGCTTTCCCTCGCTTCCTT